GAGAGAGAGAGAGAAATTGCTATTTAACTTATTTAAATCAATGTGATTTTATTACTGCAGATAATAATTAAATATTTGAAAACATTTATTTAAAAGATAATTATGTATTAAGAAAGTTAAAATAAATAAATAAATTTCAATCAATTTATAATTTTCACAAAATCTTGTGCTAAAAATAATGAATCAAATTAATTAAAGAATAATTAGTAATGAAATTGTAACTAATTTATGTAACTAAATTTTTAAACATATATATATGAATGACATTTTTTTAAAACTATTCACATTTAGGAAATGTACAGAATTTATATATTCGCATTCATATTATTTATATTTTTTATCAACATAAATATTAATTTGAGAAATCAAAACTTTCCATTGAAGCTTTGCAAGTTTTCATGCAGATATTACTTTCACCTTCATTCATATCACCTAATGCAAAATTATGCAAAATTTCGCGGCCAGAATATTTTCGTATTATATCTTTACGTATATTATCATATTATAATAAGCCCCCTCAGCATTGAAAGGGTTAATATGGAGATCCGCCGGACATGAGCTTTATGCTCGTTCTTATTCACGGTGCAAAATCGTAGGCACCATGCGAAAACGTGGCCAGCCTCGCGAACGAAATCGCGATGGCGAAGGGGGAACCGGGAGGGATGAGATCGGGAGTCGTTGAGGAGAGTGTCCGGAAAGTAAGAGCGGGCTTCCTCGGTCGACCGGTCGAACAAAGGACAAGTGCGTCCTCGAGAGCGATGTTAGAACCTCGTCTAATTGTAAGACAGTCCTTTTTGATCCGAGCGACACGCGGGCCCACGGGATTCAAAGGGAGAAAAGGGCAAGCACGCGTGCGCCTCGCGCGTACATCTGCCAACGAAGTGGGGAAATTTCGCAAGACGACGGCGAAGAAGAGGAGGGAAGGGGGGACAGAAGAAGGAGATGATGGCGGCTGAAAGGGAGGGCTAGTCTCGTAGGTCCTATACAAACTTTCCTGCGCCGAAGAGGTGAGGACCCCGTGGGTCCACCTCGAGGAGTCCCCTTCTCTTGGGTTTGGCGTTCCGCCATTTAAATGCTCTTCGGACGCCGTTGCTAGGACTCGTTCCCTTGTCCTACCTTATTGTTCCTACCTTATTTTCGAGTCTCGTCCTGAATATCTCTGCGAAGTCTCCTGAAGGATATGGGTGTGCGTGTGTGAGAGTCGTCGCGCACACTCGCGATTCGCGAGTTTCCAGTTTATTCTCGATCAACCTCCGCATTTGTTCTCTTTTCGACCGTGGGTTATCATTCTTGTTTGATGGGTCGGCCAGCCGCCTTCCTCACGCGCACTCTCGCATCGTCGAGTGGATCATATCTCGAAAATTAAATTCCACTTTAACTCCTCCCGGCCGGTATATCACGGCATATCCAAGATCGACGTTCATAATGAAATACAGTGAACAGAATATATAATGGACCATGAATTCAAGTCTGAATAATTCAAGGTATATCAAAATGATTTATAATCTCTAGAGAGAAAATACTTCAGAAAATATGTGTGTCTAAATGAGAATGCTGATACAAATTAATTACAAATTAATCATCAGAGATTAACAAATATATATATATATATATATATGTGTGTGTGTATTACTAAATACAAATGTTAATTATTGAGACAAATATATATAAATAAATTTCTATATACTTAAATAGAAGTTAGTGATTTTATCTTTAAAAGCAGGTTTTGCGATAAAAAAATTCTAGAAGAAGAAAATTTTTACTTTGCATTACATATTGTCGTTCAGTTTGTTCTAAGGCAAGTTCAAGGTTCAAACCATCATGAATCGAGTCTACAATCTTTTTCAATCAACCCCTTTTTTAAAGGAATCATTTTCTTCAAATACATCACGGAAGTTCGATCCCCTAAAATCGCGTCCTTGCAGATTGGAAAAGCCAATGCTGATACTTGGGGTTTCATCCTCGTGGAATTCACGCGCGTAGATCAGATTCGGATGGTGGGAAGGCGCGCGACATGGGAACACGCGCGATCACCGGGGGGACAGGTGTGCTCCAAATAACGCGCGGGCCCAAGGCTCGTCTTCTCTCTCTCCTCTCTCGTACGACGTGTTTTCTCTCTAGACGCGCTTCTCTTTTCTTCTCTCTTACCAAACTCCGCTCCCCTAATCTCTCCCCGTCGCTGACGGGGCGAGCAGTAGCCTCTAGCGAGTGAATGTGGCTTTGATTGTCGTCGGTTGGGTCTCCAAAAACCACCCTCCCCCTTCACGGGGAGCAATTCGAGAAAATGGCGCTAGCAAAAGGTGCGCTCGGGTCAATCCAATATAAATCAGAACCGAGTCTTGAGGCTTAGTCGAGGAGAGAGAAAAGAAACGAGGAGGAAGAGAGAACGTGCGTATGTACGTACGGAATCAAAGTGGGGGGGAGGCCCAGAAGAAAGGGGGCGACGATGAATAGAGTATTTTCGGAACCGCTCGCGGCGTATACATCGAAATGCTCGCGTATGTGCACACTCGTCCGTGTGTTCGTGATAACATGAAAGAGAATCAGGTACGAGACTTCCACCTGCCCTCCCCCTCCCCGCTTCTTTTAGGACCCTAAGGATCTTCTCTGGTAAGAATTTGGAGTTTCTCTCGTGTTTAAAACGCCGACGGCCGTTATTCTTCCTTCTTCTGTTGAGGATAATGTTGAGTTCCTTCTGTATCTTCTTTACACGGGTGGGAGGGATTATCGTTATCAGTTCTTTGATAACTTCTACAAGCATTTCTTTCTAGACCCTCAGAAGTCCTCCTGTTGAAATTTCAAAGATTTAAAAGTGATATGCTCCTCGCACGTGATATGCTTTCATTTTTCATGTTTAAAGGTTTGAGATTGATTCACAAAAAACTGTTTGTTAGATACCGAAGCAGATGATATATAAATAAGATAAGAAATAAATATTCACATCTTGTATCACATAAAGATGCATTATCTCTATTTTTAATTTCTAAGTTATATATAATAAACACTTTCATTTATTTTATATATACATATATTTATTTATTTTTTGTTATTATCTTCACAAAAACATGTTTTTTTCTTTCTCATCATAGTTTTCTTCAGTTATTGAGGAACAATAGCAAACGAACAAATTAAATTTGCCACTTTCTTTGATACGTTAAATTATTCCAAAGTTTCACTCTAGTTCAGAGATAATCCTTGTAATGCAAGTGCATTTATTATTATTT